CGTGATAATTGTCCTATTCTTGATAACGTACAATCAGTTTCTTCAATTACAAGTTATTTAGAAGTAATTTGATTGCTTGTGGCATGACAGCTGTCAACGCAACGGAAAAATGCCCAATAGTTGTAGATCTAATCACAAAAGGAGATGCTTTGGGTGAGTTGTACTGTTTTTTTGTCTTTGACCTTATCACTGTTCACCCTAAACTAAATGGGGTCTACCAGTTAGGGAGGGCCATCATGATGCATTTTTATCCAGAAAGCTACGGTAACTCCGAGCCAGGGGGAGTGTAGGCAGTCTAAGGGGTGGGGGGAGGGGTGAGGGCAGTCACTTGACATGCGTGAAAAGCTAGGTTTTCGAGTTCACACTATCTCCGTGAAACTGCATCATGATGCCCCCTAACCGGAATAGAACCCTTGGGCTGGTGTCATAGTCCGCGATCCGTCGCAGGTTTCGCTAGTTTTCGGCCGCCACGTCAAATCCATGAACACGCCTACTTTTAGGCGATATGTGGCCTGTACGTATTCGTTCCACACTTGATCTTAAACCGACCTGCAATGTATGATCCGATCTTCTTTCAAGGAGAAGAGTGAATGACTGAACGAGTCACAAAGTAAAAGGGTTTGAGCTCTCATGGACTTCCTGTTGCTGTCCTTTGAAAAGTCAAATAGACCCTCTTTTCTGAAGTGGCCAGAGACATTGGAAGTAAATGCGTTCGTAGAAAATCCGCCAGCACCGAGTATTGTTCGCGTTTTATAAAACACCGTCAGGGAGCGACCAATAGCGAATAGCGGAGACCATAGGCTCAGCCCATGTCATGGTCGTAATTCATTAGTTTGATTAGTTGGCCCCAAATATCATGAATTAATCTGTTTATAAGGTAATGGCGTACCTGCATATTATAATTACAAACTAATATTAAACCAACGTTAGTCACAGATACGGAAGGGTGAGTGCCATACTTTGGGTTTGCTTGACCCCTTGTCGTTCAGGGGCGTGACTAGCTAGACAACGTCAGCTCAAACGAGAGGCGAGGTGATAACGGACTGAATTCTGCTTGCACCGAACAACCTTTTCTATTATTTCATAATTTTCATCAATTTTTTCATGGGCTCAGGCGCATTTGTGCAATTGGAGCTTTGCTTCGTGGTAAAAATTTTCTCGTCGGTGGACCGTGGTCTCGCGGCTCGCCTGCCCCAACCCTTGCCAGAATCACTTCGTACTTATTCCTTCTCCTGTACCTTAGCTTCAGTGAGGCACTCCCTACTACCTCGCTGCATACAGAGGTACATGAGTGATTAATGTATGGCCGCTCTCTACCTAAATGTCCTTAAAACCATCCCCCAGGTCACCTTTCCCATACTTGCATGGCCATCGATTTTCTCTTTCGTTGATTTAGTGAGATTTAAGGTGGTTACAGTAGAATGTGTAGGAGACTCAAGTTTGAGTGGCGAGTGAAATGGAAGGGTGTCAGAAACCGCTCTGAGAAGGTGTAGTATCTCCACCTAACTTTGGGCGTTTCCTAGCTGAAAAGCGAGTGCTAAACCTGAAAACTTGGCAAGTTTATTCAGAACTAGGTGGACGGGATGCGTGACTATTCAATCGTGGCGTTAAAG